ATCTTGTGCATTGTGTGCCTCTGTTCCTGCACTCCACTCAGCTGTCGCTGCAGACAAACTCCATCCTCCACCTTCATTATCCCCACTACTGCAGCCACCTCTAGGCCTGTTGCTATAGAGCCTACCTGTATGTCAATAAACAGCAGCTGAAGCAAAAAAAAAAATAAAAAAAATCAGACAACATGTATCTTAATTTTAATGAGGAATTTGATACTCCTTATACCCTTCATGGATAAAATGGAGAAATGAGCCCTAACCGGTTTGGCTCAGTGGATAGAGCATCGGTCTGCAGACTCAGGGGTCCCGGGTTCGATTCCAGTCAAGGGCATGTACCTTGGTTGCAGGCACATTCCCAGTGGGGAGTGTGCAGGAGGCAGCTGATCGATGTTTCTCTCTCATCGATGTTTCTAACTCTCTATCCCTCTCCCTTCCTCTCTGTAAAAAATCAATAAAATATATAAAAAAGAAAAGTTGATGGAACTTGGGGACTCAACAAGGGCTGAGTCACATATGTTATCACCTGTTGGGAATGGCTAAAGGCATTTCCCCAAACCTGAAAAGGGATGATTGCTTGGCTGCCAGACAGCTCAGGGCATCTTAATCTACATGTTACTGCCTCCTACTGGCCAAACACCTGAACAGCTGTAGGCTAATTCCCCCAAATCTGACAATGGACTCTGTATAGGAAACCCTGACCCTTTGAAGTGTATATCTCTGCTTCCCCTCAGGACAATTTGTGTTCATAAAAAGCATGGGGTCCTGGGACAGGAGATCTTAGTTTCCTTTAAACTAGGCTCCTCTGACCCCCAAATGCCTTTCAAAATTATATTTCGTCTCTGGACTCCTATTTAATCTACGCACAGCCTTCTCCAGATTGCTGAACCCTTCTTAATGCTGGAACAAGAACCCCGACAGTTCTATGTAATTATGAAATGTAGCTTAAAGAGAATTGTCTCCATCTAGAGATATGAGTGCTAAGGCTTTCAAACTTGCGGTAGCATTGTGTTGGTTGAACACTAGGCCATATGACTTGATTCTCAGGGTTGACATCACACTCGCTCTGAGGCTCCTTTGCCCAGAAAAGCTTCCTGTGTTGTTTTGTCCATAGCCTTCTAGGCTGGAATAGGGAAAACATCAGAACGGTGTTGGAGTCTTCAGATTGGAAAGACTGCAGATATTTTGTAAAAATAAGGCATTTGATACTTTGGAGATTGGGTGCTTTCATTATCTCAAGACTCCTTAAAATTGAATGTGAGATTGATCTTCATGTTCTTTCTTTCCTCTCATTAGTGCCTCAGATACAATGCTAAATAAAACTCAGAAATGATTTTGCTTTAAAAATAAATAGCTATAACCAAAGAATATTGACTAATAAGTTAATACCAATTAATACAGAAAGAAAGAAAACTAAAACTTTAGCCTTTTTTTGGCATCACGTTCTTTTTATCTTACTCCGACTGGCTTATTTCGCTTAGCATAATGCTCTCCAGTTCCATCCATGTTGTTGCAAATGTTAAAAGTTCCTTCTTTTTATAGCAGCATAGTATTCCATTGTGTAGATGTACCACAGTTTTTTTAATCCACTGGTGTCACGTTCTTTTTTTATTTTTTATTGTTTTATTGCTTAAAGTATTACAAAGAGTATTACATATGTCTCCTTCCCCCCTCCCTTGACATTCCCCCAGCCTCCCCTACCCCCCAGTGTCTTATGTCCATTGGTTATGCTCATATGCAAGCATACAAGTCCTTCAGTTGATCTCTTACCCCCACCCTCCCGCCCCCCAACCCTCCCCAGCCTTCCCGTTGTAGTTTGACAGTCTGTCACATTCTTTTTACAAGAAATCTTTATTGTTGAGAGTCTTACAGATGTCCTTCTCCCCCTTCCCCCATTGCCACCCTCCACCCAGCTCCTGTCCTGCCCTAGGCCCCCTCCACCTTATTGTCTGTGACCATAGCAAACGCATATATGCATATAAATTTTTTGGTTAATCTCTTCCCAATGACTCCTCCCCCTTTCCTCTGAGATTCATCTGTCTGTACCATGTTTCCATGCCACTGGTTCTATTGTATTCATCGGTTTATTTTGCTTATTAGACTCCTTGTTTGTTTATTGATTTCAAATGTTGATTGATATGTATTTATTGCTATTTTATTGTTGTTGCTGTTCTTCTTCAAGAATGTCCTTTGCCCTAGCTGGTTTGGCTCACTGGAAAGAGTGTTGGCCTGGGGACTGAAGGGTCCCAGGTTCAATTCTGGTCAAGGGCATGTACCTTGGTTGCAGGGACATCCCCAGTAGGGGGTGTGCAGGAGGCAGCTGATCAATGCTTCTCTCTTATCGATGTTTCTAACTCTCTATCCCTCTCCCTTCCTCTCTGTAAAAAAATCAATAAAATATATTTAAAAAAAAAAGAAAAAAGAGAGAATGCCCTTCAACATTTCACGTAATACTGGTTTGATGGTGATGAGCTCCTTTAGCTTTTTCTTGTCTGTGAGGCTCTTTATCTGACCTTCAATTCTAAATGATAGCTTTGCTGGAGAGAGTAATCTTTTATATATATATATATATATATTTTTTTTTTAATGATTTTTTAAAGAGAGGAAGGGAGAGGAATAGAGAGAAACATCGATGAGCGAGAAACATCAATTAGCTGCCTCCTGCACACCTCCTACTGGAGATGTGCCCGCAACCAAGGTACATGCCCTTGACGAGAATCGAACCTGGGACCTTTCAGTCCGCAGTCCGACGCTCTATCCACTGAGCCAAACCGGTCAGGGATGGATAGTGTACTCCTGACTGTAGGTCCTTGCTATACATCACTCTGAATCTTTCTTGCCACTTCCTTCTGGCTTGCAAAGTTTCTGTTGAGAAATCAGCTGACATTCATATGAGTGCTCCCTTGTAGGTAACAAACTGCTTTTCTCAAAAAATATATTTATTGAATTCAGAGAGGAAGGGGGAGAGAGAGAGAGAAAGAGAGAGAGAAAGAGAGAGAGGGAGAGAGAGGGAGAGAGGGAGAGAGAGAGAGGGAGAGAAACATCAATGATGAGAATAATTTTTTAAAAATATATGTTTTATTGATCTTTTTACAGAGGGAGCGGGATAGAGAGGAACATTGATGAGAGAGAAACATCGATCAGATGCCTCCCACACACCCTCCACTGGGGATGTGCCCGCAACCAAGGTACATGCCCCTGACTGGAACTGAACCTGGGACCCTTCAATCTGCAGGGCCGACGCTCTATCCCCTGAGCCAAATCAGTCAGGGCGAGAGAGAATCATTGATCAGCTGCCTTCTGCATGCTCCACACTGGGAATTGACCCGCCACCCAGGCATGTGTCCTGACTGGGAATCGAACTGTGACTTCCTGGTTCATAGGTGGATGCTCAACCTCTGAGCCACGCCGGTTGGACTATACTCATATTCTTTTTATTTTTATTTTTGAAAACCCAGATCTATTGCACGACTAATCACTGAAATCCTTAAGATGAACTGGATGCGGCAACAGCTGCCCTCTTGAGTTTAGGAGTTGTTCCTTCACAGAATCCATGCCTGAACCTGCGGTACACGATTTTTCAGGTGCTGCATGCGACCGGTCCCGGTTGTGTTCCATCGTTTAGCCTTGGCACTCCAGTTATACTTCCTCTTGCGCTTGGCGGGGTAGCGGCACTTGCCGCAGGTGGACTTCTGCAGGTGCTAGGCCTTGGAGCCCCAGCTGCCGCACAGCGTGTGCCTCTTGTTGCAGTGCTTGCCGAACGAGGACGTCCCCTTCGTCATCTTGCTTCTGCCGCGGAGACCAAAGGGCACTCATATTCTTGAGTAAGCAAATTGTCCTGGATATGTGTAGGGAAATCAGTTTGGCATGATGGATTGAACCATATTATGGAGGGCCACCAAGAATACTTCAGAATAAGGTGAACAGATCAGGAGGTAAAGATGAAACATCAGGACGTTTTAGGAAGGAAATCATCCAAAGCAAAGATGTGCTGGAAGAGGGTCCCTCTGCCAGTAGAGAGTAGCATGGATTGCAGAGGGAACAAAAGCAAAACAAGGCTGCCATAGGAGCCTATGTCAATAGTCAAGCCGAGGGGTAGGGAGATCAGATGTGGATGACAGAGACGTTGCTAAGAGATCTACAGGACTTGGGAACTGAGGACTCATCCAGGGACAGAGAAAGGAGTCAACCAAGAGTCCAAGACTTTCAGCCTATAGCAGCTGTGAGGATGGAGGAAGTGACAGAAATCAAGAGTCAAAAGTAGCTATTGGCCCTGCCAGGGGAGCTCAGTTGGTTAGAGTGTCATCCGGATAAAAGGTTGTGGGTTTAACCAATGAATGAATAAAATAAGTGGAGCCACAAAAGATCTCTCTTGCCGAAACCGGTTTGGCTCAGTGGATAGAGCGTCGGCCTGCGGACTGAAGGGTCCCGGGTTCGATTCCGGTCAAGGGCATGTACCTGGGTTGCGGGCATATCCCCAGTGGGAGATGTGCAGGAGGCAGCTGATCAATGTTTCTCTCTCATCGATGTTTCTAACTCTCTATCTCTCTCCCTTCCTCTCTGTAAAAAATCAATAAAAAATATTTTTAAAAAAAGATCTCTCTCTCTCTCTCTCTCTCTCTCTCTCTCTTTCTCTCTCTCCTTCCTTCCTCTCTCCCTAAAATCAATCAAAAAAAAAAAAAAAAAAAGAAAGAACAAGAAGTAGTTATGGCTAAAGTATAGGAATGGGATGGAACATGCTGAGCTGGATTTGAGCTACCACGGTATATTGATTTTGAATTGGCAGGGGTGCAGCAGGCGGAGAAACCTAGCCAGGCAATTGGAAAACCGACATGGTACATGGAGGAGAGGGCAAGGATCCAAATAAGAGGGGATAGCGATCTGCATGGGATTTTGAAGATGGGAGAGATGTCCGGAAGGAGGCAGGAACTTGGGTATAGGCTGGTGCAGGGACGGGAGAAAAGGTGTCGCAACCAAGAGGCTGCCTGCCATCTGCCTCAGCTCAAGTATGGCGTGGAGTCGGAATAGGGCTGAGCAAAGCTTGGGACTGAGAAGAGTCCAAAAAAGACAACTGGGAAGTAACTGGTGACAGTCTAACAACTTTTCCGTAGGAAGTCAGGGCCGCTGTCTGAGTGAGGCGTGAGTCCTGAAGGCGAGGCGGCGGCGCAGCGAAGAGAAGGTAGGACGGCTGGAGGCGAGGAGATTGGAGGAACGTCGGTTGCCAGTGTCTGAGGACCTACAGGCTGCATGTCCCCCAGTGTCTAGATTTCTGCTTTTCACATCACGAAATGAGGTGCCGCACGACGAGGATTACTATCTCGGTGGGTGATAAGGTGGCTGCTTCCAGGTAAGCCAGTGGTTCTCAACCTTCCTAATGCCCCGACCCTTTAAATACAGTTCCTCATGTTGTGACCCAACCATAAAATTATTTTCGTTGCTACTTCATAACTGTAATTTTGCTACTGTTATGAATCGTAATGTAAATATCTGATATGCAGGATGTATTTAGGCGACCCCTGTGAAAGGGTCATTGGACCCAAAGGTTGAAAACCGCTGACAGAGGCGACTGCCCGCAGTGGCTGGATACACCCCTTCGCTCCGCCCCGCCCCGCCCCTCCCCTCCCCGCCCCGCCTCCGCCCCCGCCACTGGGACATTCTGCGCAGGCGCGCGGAGGTGGGGGCGGAGCGGAAGTACGGGCGGAAGTGGAGTCCGCAGCGCCTTAGGAAAGGGGCCCCGGAGGAAACTACTCTGCGGCCGTCTGCGGACGGTGTAGGAGTGCGGAGGCCACCATGAACCGGCTCCAAGATGACTATGACCCCTACGCAGTCGAAGAGCCCAGCGATGAGGAGCCGGCTTTGAGCAGGTGCGCCCCGGCTCCGCCCGGCCCCAGGCCTCGGCCGCGGCCTCCTCCCTGCGCCGCGCCGGCCGGTCTGTGCGGACCCTCGGCCCAGCGGCTCGGCCCGTGTCGCGCCCGCTGTCGCCTGCGGGCCGCCGAGGGGAGTTCGGGTGAGGCCTTGCAGCCTCGGGGGAGGCGGGGCCGACAGGGGAAGGGGGCTGTTCGGGAATCCCGCGTAAGTCTTCCAGAGCCGTGTGATCGCATCCTGCCTCTGCAGCTTACGGGCAGTGTGAGCCAAGGCAAGTCGCTTCTCCTCGGTTTCTCATCTATAAGAAGGAAATATAATAAATATGTCGTAAGTATGTTGTAAGGGTCGTGTCACTTAATGTGAGCTGACCAGCTAGAAGACTAACATGCCATAAACAGAAATAAGGGGATATTTAGCAGGGTTTTTTTGAGCACCTGTTAGGTGCTTGCTCTGGGCTACAGAGACCAGTCATAAGATTTTTGCCTTTTACAGGTTTACAGTATAGTAGGGGAAATAATACACTTACCTTGCAAGATATAAATCTGGGAAATAAGCATGTATCTCGGAAGAGCATTGTAGAAAACGATCTTAGCTAGGTACCGACGAGGTTTTCGTGGGAATTTCCAAAAAGGAAGGACGTATCCTACCTGAGGGAAACTTGCAGTTTTGTTGGCAATAGATTTCCAGGCAAATTTAAGCCATTTGAGAGCTGTCAGCAGATCCTACTTATAACTTTAAAACATTTCGTCGGATTGAGCTTTCTGTAAAACTGTCCTACTTTCAATCACAGTGTTTCCTTCCATTATCCTGGGGAGGGTCCTAGGCATGGGGATCCGGCTGCTGCGAAGGTTTCTGTTGTGGGGAGTGAGGATGGATTCCAGGATTCCCTGTGGAAGTTGACTTAAAGGGTCAGGTCTGTGAAAGGAGGTAGATAGAGGCTTCAATTAGTAATTCAGTTTGATTGGAATAGAGGAGTGTTTCCTGGACTTGAGTTATTCTGCCATTACCATCTCCATAGGCACTTGTGTTATTTATTTAACATTTTTCTTTAAGTCAATTTACATTTTTGTAGTTAAGTATCTTCAAGAAAGCTTTATAATCCTGACACTTGTCACTTGTAAAGTAATGAAAAAAATAAATACTATGAAAACAAAACAATGCTTTAAGGCAGTATTGTCTGCTTGAGGCTCTGAATCCAATGCTTGTTTTAAAAAGGGAGATTGTGTTAGAGAGGTAAGAGGTACCTGTCAGGATTTGATTTTACTCCTCTTTATAAGGTACTATTTTATAGCCTGTCACTGTTTCATGGAAGCTGGCGGAAGAGCTGAGACTCCTGGGTTACAGAAAACTCACAGCACAGCAGGCAGCATGAACATTATTATGTTGGTGTTGGTTGCTCTCCCTCACTTCAGCAGAGGTTATGCAAAGAGACCAAGACGGATGCTAACATTCGGTGGATTGGTATCCTGGCTGAAGACCGCTTGAGCTTGGAATCTACTTCTTTGACAGCAGGCAGTAGATAAGCCTGCTCTTTGTCCTGGGAAGGGACATGTCCTCTCCATCAAGTTTTTTTTTTTTTTTTTTTTTTTTTTTTTTTTTACTGCAAACAACCCTGAAAAATGGCCTGGGCATAGAGTGTTGTGAACCTTGCATGCTAGCATACTCAACAAGAATATGCAGGGCCCATGACATTGCCTTGACTAGCAGTGCAAATGCTGAGACTTTTGAAATAATCACCAAGATTGAAGAAAATTTGCAAAAAAGAATAACACTCTTGCCTTGTGTTTTAATTTTTTAAATTAAACATTTTGTTCTTACAACTAGATTCACATGTTGTTGTAAGAAATAATACAGAGAGATTGTGCCCCCTTTACTCAGTTTCCCCCAATGTTAACATATTGCAAAACTAGTACAATATCACAACCGGAATATTGACATGAATACAGTCAAGTTACAGGACATTTCCATCAGCATGAGGATCGTTCATTTTCCCCACTTCCCGCCCCCCATGCCCCTCTTAACCTCTGGTAACTGCTAGTGTGTCCTCCATTTCTATAATTTTGTCCTTTTCAAAAAATATGTAAGTGGAATTCTGCGTTTGTAACCTTTTGGAATTGGCTTTTTTCACTCAGCACAGTTCTCTGGAGATTCACCCCCATTTTTTTAGGTATTAATAGTTCATTTCTTTTTTTATTGCTGAGTAATAGTCTGTGCTTAACCATTCACTCGTTGAAGGACATCTTTCAAGTTTAGACTATTGTGAATAAAACTGCTATAAACATTCATGTATAGGTTTTTTTTTAAACTTCACCTGTGGACATTTTTCCCATTGATTTTTAGAGAGAGTGGAAGGGAGAGGGAAAGACAGAACACTGATGTGAGAGAGACACATTGATTGGTTGCCTCCTGCATGCCCCTGACCACGGCCGGTGGCTCCCGAGGTACATGCCCTGGACTGGAATCGAACCAGGGACCCTTCAGTCCACAGGCCAACGCTCTGTCCACTGAGCCAAACTGGCTAGGGCCATGTATAGGTTTTTGTGTGCATATGCATTTTCATTTCTCTGGGATAAATGCCCAGGAGTTCAATTGCTGGTTGTATGGTAATTGTATGTTTAGTTTTATAAGAAACTGTCACGCTGTTTTCCATAGTGGTTGTACCATTTTACATTCCCACTAGCAGTGGCTTTAGTATCCTTTAATGGGCCATCGTCTATTCTGCTACTCATTAAAATAATCTATGTCCCACACTTTGGAAACACTTAAATATAGAATAGATCAGGATTTCTCAACCTTGGCAGCATTGACATCTTGGGTCAGATATTGACATCTTGGGTTAAAATTAATTGTTGTGAATTGGATTTTTCTGATTTACTTTCTGCTAGAGGCTCAAAAGCATTGTTTAGAAGGCAAAACTAGAGAACCAAAAACCAAGAATAGTCAGTAAGTATTCATCAGACCATGAGTAACTGAGCATTATTTATGTACTGTTGATTGTATTAGAACTGTTTTGGGCATTTCAGATATTTCTGCTGATACCTGGTTTAATTTTGTCCCATTCCTATTGATGGGGAAACCCAGGCACAGAAAGCCAAGTAAATTGGCAGAAATTGCTCAGGAGAATTTGAGATATAATTTAGTTTTCTCTCTCTTTATAGTTCTCTGCAGCACTGTGCCTTTTATTTTTTTTATTTTTAAATATATTTTTAGTGATTTCAGAGAGGAAGGGAGAGGGAGAGACAGAAATATCAATGATGAGAGAGAATCATTGATCGGCTGCTTCCTGCACACCCCCTACTGGGGACGAGCCCGGAAACCTTGGCATGTGCCCTGACTGGGAATTGAACTGTGACCCTCTGGTTCTTAGGTTGACACTCAACCACTGAACCACACCGGCTGGGCATTTTAGGTTTAATTTAGTTGTCTTGAGTTTTAAAACACTGTGGAGTAAATTTTTCATTGCTGAAAAAATTAGAATTGGTGCAATCCTGGAAAGCAGTGTGATAATTCAAGAAGTCAAATGTTTGTATCTAATTCTAGACATTCATCCTAAGGAATTAAACAAAGTTATATGTACAAAGATGTTCATTATAGTGTTTAATAGCAAAGAGCTAGAAATAAATGTACAGCTTTTACAAGAGGAAGTGTTATGCTAACATTAAAAAATATATTTGGAAATATGCAAAATGGTTGATCTATTAAGTGAGACTAGCTCACTTACTATGTAATTACTATGTAATATGCCAGATAAATCAAATGCAACCTTATAAACTTAAGCTTGTTGGGCAGTGAGGTGATGGGAGTTGTAAGTTATTTTAATTCTTTAATATTCATATCCTTTATGATTTAAATTTATATTAGTTCTGAAGATGAAGTGGATGTGCTTTTACATGGAACTCCTGACCAAAAACGAAAACTCATCAGAGAATGTCTTACTGGAGAAAGTGAATCTAGTGAAGATGAATTTGAAAAAGAAATGGAAGCTGAATTAAATTCCACCATAAAAACAATGGAAGTCAAATTATCCTCCCTGGAAACAGGTAAACTTTTAGTTAGATTTCAATAAAGATATTTTTCCAAGCTCCGTATGGGCAAGAACCTTGTTTGTGCTCTTTTGTGTCCCCAGAACCCTCAGTAGGTACTCAGTAAGTAAGTAAATAAATAAATACCATATATATGTATGTATTTTTAAATGGGTAAGCTGAATTTTTTAAAAAATTCTTATTGATTTTTTAAAATAATATATTTTTATTGATTTCAGAGAGAAAGGGAGAGGGAGAGAGAGATAGAAACTGAGAGAGAATCATTGATCTGCTGCCTCCTGCATGCCCTCTACTGGGGATCAAGCCCACAACCCGGTTCTGTGCCCTTGACTGGAATTGAACCTGGGATCCTTCAGTTTGCAGGCCGATGCTCTATCCACTGAGGCAAACCAGCTAGGGCAGTGGTTCTCAACCTTCTGGCCCTTTAAATACAGTTCCTCATGTTGTGACCCAACCATAAAATTATTTTCGTTGCTACTTCATAACTGTAATGTTGCTACTGTTGTGAATTGTAATGTAAATATCTGATATGCAGGATGGTCTTAGGCGACCCCTGTGAAAGGGTCATTCGACTGCCAAAGGGGTCGCGACCCACAGGTTGAGAACCTCTGAGCTAGGGCTTTTATTTATTTATTTATTTTTTTTAAGAGAGTGGAGAAGGGACAGAGAGAGAGATACATCAATATGAGAGGGAAACATTGATTGGCTGCCTTCTGCATGCCCCCTACCCAGGATTGAGCCCAAAACCCATGCATGTTCCCTGACTGGGAATCTAACCAGCAATCTTTTGGTGCCTGGGACAACGCCCAGCCAGCTGAGCCACATGGGCTAGGGCAACTCAGTAAATATTTATTGAGTGAATGGATAAATGTGTTTGGCAACCTGAGCATAGTTTTCTTTGATGACTAGTGAAGAAGTTTTCTGTGTTGTTGGAAAGATATTATTTAATACTGTTTATTTGCATAATTTCCTTTTGTAATTTTTACCCCAGGAGAAAAAAATAAGCAGGTTTATAGAAGTATATTTAGGGTTATATAGCATGGTCAGCACAAATTCCTATCTTATTAAGTAATGAAACATTTCATTTTTATATGTAAACTGTATCTGACTCAAACACTGATTTGTGATAGTAGGACTCCTCAGCATTGGTTTCCATGTTGATATGCTATGTATTAACTGTGAAGAAAGTGTATCCTATCTAATAAAAGACAAAAAGGATAATTGACCGTACCTTCGCTACGCTTCCCATTGGCTAATCAGGGCGATATGCAAATTAACTGCCAAAAAAGATGGCGGTTAATTTGCATACGTAGCCACAATGATGGGAGGCGAAAGGGGAAGGATGGTGATCAGAAACCCAGGCGGCAGGCAAGAGCCGGGAGGCAGGGCAAAGGCAGACCCCCAGCGGGGACACACACACACACACACACACACACACACACACACACGGGACGCCTGCTCTGAGCCTCTGCTGCCAGACGATGGCTGTCAGTAGGACATCCACTGAGGGCTCCCGGACTGAGGGGCAGGCTGGGCTGAGGGAACCCCACCCCCCAGTGCACGAATTTCGTGCACCGGGCCTCTAGTATGATAATAAAAGCAAAAGCAGATTTTAAGAGGAAGAATTAGGATGCAGGCTTATGATGACATAAATATAGATAATGTCATAGCACTAGGCACAAATGAGTCCTTGAGTCATTCCCCTGCCTCTCTGTAGAGCTCTTACTCTCTTTCCCCCGAACTTCCTTTAAAACAAGTTGTTTATTCCCTGTTCTCCACAGTATATTGCATGGCTGAAAGGTAGAGCTATGTATGCTGGCAACTTGAAAATAGGCTATTTAATTAGATTTGTGGGAAGGGAGAAAAAATAATCCCATGATCTGGAACATTTAATCAGGAGGGGCAGCTCTCTGTAATGCATGGGGCACCAATCTAGTAAGTCATTGATTTGGAAATATTTTTCATCCAAATGAGATTGGGAATGAGTAGATATTACTTTGAAGTGATGGAAGAACATATGGAGATTTTTTCTTGTCAATTATGTAAGGTTTAGTTTGTAAACTTCCCTATGGTTTGAACAGGGTCTTCTTCAGGAAATGGGAAAGTTGGAACAGCTTCCACAAAGTACTATGATGATATATATTTTGATTCTGATTCTGAGGATGAAGACAAAACAAGTAAGTAAAATGTTTACCAGGTTTAGCAGTTATATTTTATGAAAAAAAGTTTATCTAGGAATTATTTTGTATTAGGATTTCCCTATGTTTGATATTTTTCAAAGAAATTGCAGGCTGCTGATGTGAAAACAAAAGCAGGATCGATGAATAAGAACAGGTGTGGTACAAATATTGAACTGTAATGTTGTACACCTTGAAATATATATAACCTTGTATACCAATTTTACCACACACACAAAAAAAGAACAGATGGGAACGCATACATATGAGGACCAACACTGGCACTGTATTGGCACAACTCGGGAAAGGGCGAGTGTGTTCCAACTCAGGGCTCTTGGCCCCCCCTCTTCTCTCAGGTTTCCTAGCACAGCAACATTTGTTTTCACACCTGCTAATAGTTTCTATATTTTTTTTTACCCCCCTTGCAGAATTCTCCCTAACTTGATTTAAAAAAATATATAATTTTATTGCTTTCAGAGAAGAAGAGAGAGGGAGAGAGAGTGTGAAACATCAGTGATGAGAGAGAATCATTGATTGACTGCCTCCTGCACACCCCACACTGGGGATCAAGCCCACAACCAGGGCATGTGCCCCCAACCAGAACCCTTCAGTCCTCAGGCCAACGCTCTATCCACTGAGTCAAACCAGCTAGGGCTCGTTTTTTCTTAAAAATTAACCTCTATTCTTTGGAATTGGTTTTGTATAAAATTTGAGTGAAGATGAACATATTGACAAGACCCGAAACTAATTTACTATATCAGTAATTACACTGGAATACACAAATAATACATTTATTTGGTAAAGTAATAATTTTATATATTATTAAATATTGACGTGCTCAAGCACGCTTCAGTCCACAGGCCGACGCTCTAGCCACTGAGCCAAATGTACTTCATCCTTAAGTACATTTTAAAAGTCTAGTATATATGGATGACCATATTTTTTTCCATTCACTTGAAATTTTTTTTTATGATTTCAGTAGTATTTTATATATGGGAACTTGTAGAAAATTTAGATGTCAAAAATAGTTTCTATTCTTGCTTTGCTTTGAGTAGCCTTTTTGGACTCAGAATTTTCATTATTTAAATACCAGTTTGAGATACCAGTTTTCAGTGAGAAAAGTTTTGCCTCCTCTGTCATCTTCTTTTTAATGCCTTGTTAATTGGGCAAGAACGGTACTTGGAGGAATAGTTAAAATTTTTTAAAAGGAAAATATAAATAGAAAAAATATGTAGCTTAGGAAATGGGATTCTTCATTCTGTATTAAAAAGGTATGAACTTTAACCCTGGCTGGTTTGCTCGTGGTGAGTGTAGCCTGAGGACTGAAAGGTCTTGGGTTCGATTCCAGGTCATGTTCTTCGGTTGCAGGTTCCCCAGTCCCAGTAGGGGTGCGTGCAGGAGGCTGCCAATTGATGTGTCTCTCACATAGATGTTTCTCCCCTTCCCTTTCCTCTCTTCCTCCCCCGTCTCCCTCCCCTTTCCCGTCCCCCTCCCCTCCCCTCCCCTCCCCTCCCCTCCCCTCCCCTCCCCTCCCCTCCCCCTCCCCTCCCCTCCCCTCCCTCCCCTCCCCTCCCTCCCCTCCCCTCCCCCTCCCCTCCCCTCTCCCTTTCTTTCTCCATTCCACTCTCTTTAGAAATCAATGGAAAAAATATCCTCAGGTGAGGATTTAAAAAAAAAGTGTGAACTTTAGACTTGCTACTTAGCCATATTCTTAACATTTTTGAAATTAGCACAGGTGACCAAGAGAAAAAAGAAGAAACGACACAGGATTCTAACAAATGATGAATTACTGTATGATCCTGAAAAAGATAACAGAGATCAGGCCTGGGTTGATGCACGGAGAAGAGGGTAAGAACTTAAATTTAATATTTAGAATCTTGAGAAAAAATGATTAAAAGATAATCTCACTATATTCACATTTTGAATGTATATGTATGCTTATATAGATGTACATAAAGAAGTTTGAGAACAAACTGCTGAATACTTGATTTTGAAAATAAAGCAAATTTAGTCAGAAAGTTGATTTTTAAAAAAAATATACATTTTATTGATTTTTTACAGAGAGGAAGGGAGAGGTATAGAGAGTTAGAAACATCCATGAGAGAGAAACATGGATCATCTACCTCCTGCATACTCCCTACTGGGGATGTGCCTGCAACCAAGGTATATGCCCTTGACCGGAATCGAACCTGGGACTCTTCAGTCCACAGGCCGACGCTAGCCACTGAGCCAAACTGGTCAGGGCAGAAAGTTGATTTTTAAAAAAGCTTTTGAATACAAACTGTTGTAGTCAGTCTCTTCATTCAAGAACCAAAAATGGCCCTGGCTGGCTTGGCTCGGTGGATAGAGCGTTGGCCTGCAGACTGAAGGGTCGCGGGTTTGATTCCGATCAGGGGCATGTGCCTGGGTTGTGGGCTTGATCTCCAGTGTGGGGGGCATGCTGGAGGCAGCTGATCAGTGATTCTCTCTCATCATTGATGTTTCTATCTCTCTCTCCCTCTCCTTTCTTCTCTGAAATTAAAAAAAAATATATTAAAAAAAAAAGAACCAAAATGAATAAAAAAATATAGACACAATTTAAATCTACTGTGGTTTTTGGAAGGAAGTCACTATGTGCAGCCCAGACTTAAGGAGTAGTGAGTTATGAGGGAGAGTATCTTCATAAGTTATTTGTAATTCTTCCGTATGGGAGATTTGTCTCTTCTTCCTCGTTTATGTATTCAGTCATTTACATCAGCATGGACTCACGAGAACTTATACTTTGGGTTAAAATCCAATACTACTTTTTTTTTTTTTAAATCTAATTGCTTTAGTTTTGGCCATTGGGAGTGCTTTCAGTTGGCTCCTGTGCCCCTTAGACATACCTACTGCATTGGGTTTTTCTTTTCTTTTTTTTTTTCTAAATATATTTTTATTGATTTCAGAAAGGAAGGGAGAGGGAGCGAGGTATAGAAACATCAATGATGAGAGACGCGCATTGATCGGCTGCCTCCTGCATGCCCCACACTAGGGATCAAGCCCAAAATCCAGGCATATGCCCTGACTGGGAATCAAACCATGACCTCCTGGTTCATAGGTTGACTCTCAACCACAGAGCCAGGCTGGCTGGGCAGATTTTTCTTTTTTTTTTCTTAGCACTTCCTTACTTTCTGGCACTACAAGATGCTTCAGGTTCATCTTGTATGCCCCATTCCTAGAATTAACCAATTTTCTGAGGATTACTGATTACTTTTATTGGGGAGTAGCATTAGAAATCAAGTTCTGGTTTTAATGTGTCTTCCCTCTACTTTCATTTTCTGTTCAAGATACCATGGTTTTGGAATACAGAGGCCACGTCAACAACAACAGCCTGTTCCAAATAGTGATGCTGTCTTGAATTGCCCTGCCTGCATGACCACACTGTGTCTTGATTGTCAAAGGTAACAGATAAAGGCTAACAATACGCACATACGCACAAAGCAATAAAAACAAAACTTGGTGGGTCTTTTTTAAAATCTGAAGTAGACTTTTGAGGTAGTTAGGAATTCTGGGCTTGTGCCCTTGACCATAATCAAACCCGGGACCCTTCAGTCTGTAGGCTGATGTTCTATCCACTGAGCCAAACCAGCTAAGGCTGTTCTTTTACTATTGAGTTGTATGAGTTCCTTGTATATTTTTACTATAACCCCTTATCAGATAGTGTATGACTTGCAAATATTTTCTCCTGTTTTGTAGGTTATCTTTTTATTTTGTTGATTGTTTCTTTGCTATGCAGAAGCTTTTTAGTTTTATGTAGCCCTGCTTGTTTATTTTCACTTTTATTTATTTATTTTTTTTTTTAATATATTTTTATTGATTAAGATATTACATATGTGTCCTTGTCCCCACGTTACCCTCTACCCCCCACGCCCCCCACCCCCGCTCATGCCCTCACCCCCCCGTTGTCCATGTCCATTGGTTAGGCCTATATGCTTGCATATAAGTCCTTTGGTTGATCTTTCCCCCTTACCCCCACCCTCCCCTACCTTCCCTCCAAGTCCCGACAGTCCAATCAATGCCTCTCCGTCTCTGGATCAGTCCTTGTTCATCAGCTTATGTTGTTCATTATATTCCACAAATGAGTGAGATCCTGTGGTATTTATCCGCTCTCAAGTTCCATCCATGCTGTGGCAAATGGTAAGAGTTCCTTTTTCTTCTTCCTCTTCTTAAAGAATACCTTTCAGCATTTCATATAATGCTGGTTTGGTGGTGATGAACTCCTTTAGCTTTTTCTTATCCGTGAAGCTCTTTATCTGACCTTCTATTCTGAATGATAGCTTTGCTGGATAAAGTAATCTTGGTTGCAGGTTCTTGCTATTCATCACTTTGAATATTTCTTGCCAGTCTCTTCTGGCCTGCATGGTTTCTGTTGAGAAATCAGCTGACAGTCGTATGGGTACTCCCTTGTAGGTAACTGACTGTCTTTCTCTTGCTGCTTTTAAGATTCTCTCTTTATCTTTTGCTCTTGGCATTTTAATTATGATGTGTCTTGGTGTGGTCCTCCTTGGATTCCTTTTGTTTGGGGTTCTCTGCGCTTCCTGGACTTGTAAGTCCATTTCTTTCACCAGGTAGGGGAAGTTTTCTGTCATTATTTCTTCAAAAAGGTTTTCAATATCTTGCCCTCTCTCTCCTTCTGGTACCCCTATAATTCTGATGTTGGTACGCTTGAAGTTGTCCCAGAGGTTCCTTACACTATCTTCATATTTTTGGAATCTCTTTTCTTTTTTCTTTTTCGGTTGGGTATTTTTTGTTTCTTTGTATTTCAAATCTTTGACTTGATTCTTGGGATCCTCTTTTCTGCTGCTGGATCTCTGTAAATTATTCTTTATTTCAGTCAGTGTATGCTTAATTTCTAGTTGGTCCTTTTTCATGTCCTCCATGGTCTCCCTATACTTATTGAGGGATTCATTAAATTTATCGGCGGTTTCCATAAAATTCTTGAAAAACCTTATAACCGTGGCCTTAAACTCTATATCCAATCGTTTGCTTTCCTCCATTTCTGCCATTTGTGACCTGTTTCTTTGTCTCCGCATTTTGGTTGCTTCCCTGTGTTGATAGAGTGGCTTTGTGTGCTAGGTGTCCTGTAGGGCCCAGTGGCTCAGCCTCCCCAGTTACCTGAGGTGGACACTCTTGGTGCACCCCCTCGTGGGCTTTGTGCACAGTCTTGTTGTAGCTATGCCTTGGTTGTTGTAGGATCACTGGGAGGAATTGACCTCCAGGGCAATTGGCAGCGAGAATCAGCTGCCCTGATGATGCTCAGCTGTGTAGCAATGCAAGCCGCAAGCCGCTGTGGGGCCTGGGCCTTCTCTTGGAAGCTCTGAGTCTATCTGGCCCGGCTGCGGTTAGGTAATTACAGGTTGCAAGTGGCCGGGGCATTCATATGCAAAAGCCTCTGCCGCAGCCTGGGTGGGGCGGGGTCTCAAGGAATCAAAGGGCTGAGAAAGCAGGTATGGCGGAGCCTCAGCCCTGCCCTAAGGAGTCGCGAGTCCCAGTGTCCCGGCAACGGCTGCAAGCACCTCTGAGGGAAAGCCGCTCTCAAGCTCGCCCGCTGCCAGACAGTCCAGTATCTCCCCGTATGAGCCCTGGGTCCCCAGAGACTTCCCGGAACCGGATTTCAGAGCCGTCGGGAGCTTGTGTCTCCCTCCGGATTCAAAAAGACAGCCGCGTCCTCAGGTGCCAGACCCTTTCCGCGCGCACGAGCCCCCCGTACCTCTGCACGCCACCTCCGCAGCTCCTCCCGCTCGCAGTGTGCTTTTCTCTCCTTCTAGTTGTAGAATTTACACTCAGCCAGCCCTCCTGTAGTTCTGGATGGTGTCCACCTTGTGTTTTTGATGCATTTATCGATTGTTGTGGGAAGCAGAAATTTCCCGGTGTTTATCTATGCCGCCATCTTAGTTTCTCCTATTTTCACTTTTATTGCTTGTGCTTTTGCTGTTATGTTAAAAAAACATTTTTAAGACAAAGGTTAAGGAGCTTTTCCGATTTTCTTCTAGGACAGTGGTTCTCAACCTTCTGGCTCTTTAAATACAGTTCCTCATGTTGTGACCCAACCATAAAATTATTTTCGTTGCTACTTCATAACTGTAATGTTGCTACTGTTATGAATCGTAATGTAAATATCTGATATGCAGGAGGGTCTTAGGCGCCCCCTGTGAAAGGGTCGTTCGACCGCCAAAGGGGTCGCGACCCACAGGTTGAGAACCGCTGTTCTAGGAGTTTTACAATTTCAGGCCTTATCTTTAAGTCTTTAATCCATTTAAAATTAATTTTTGTGAGTGGTGTATAATAGGGGTACAGTTTTATTCATTTGCATGTGAACATTCACTTTTCCCAATAGTGTTTATTGAAGAGACTTATCTTTTCCATATTGAATTTTCTTGGCTTCCTTGTCAAATATTGGTTATATGTTGTGGCTTTATTTCTGGGCTCTCACTTGATTCTGTTCTGTTGATCTATGGGTCTATTTTTATGCCATTCCTATACTGTTTATGCCATTTCTATACTCTAGCTTTGAAATTAGGAAGTGTGATGCTTCCAGCTTTGCTCTTAATTTAAAAAAAATATTTTTATTTATTTCAGGGAGGAAGGGAGAAAGAGAGAGAGATAGAAACATCAATGATGAGAGAGAATCATTGTTTGGCTGCCTACTGCATGCCCCCTCCTGGGGATTGAGCCACAACCTAGTCATGTGCCATTGACCAGAATCGAACCTGGAACCTTTCAGTCTGCAGGCCAACACTCTATCCACTTAGCCAAACCAGCTAGGGCCAGCTTTGTTCTTCTTTTTCAAGATGACTTTGACAATTCAGAGTCTTTCATGGTTCCATATAAATTTTAGGATGGTTTTTTCTATTACTGTGAAAAATGCCGTTGGAATTTTGATAGGGATTGCATTGAATCTATAGATGGCTTTGGGTAGTATGGCTATTTTAACAATATTAATTCTTTCAGTCTCTGAACACAGGATATCTTTCAATTTATTTGTGTTTTTTTTTTCTTCTTCAATTTCTTTCATCAGTGTCTTAGAGTTTTCAGTGTATAGATTTTTCACCTCCTTGGTTAAATTTATTCCTAAGTATTTTATTATTTTTGATGCTATTATTGTGAATAGGATTGTTTTCTTAATTTTTTTTTCCAGATAGTTGTTAGTATATAGAAACACAATAGAGTTTTGTATATTAATTTTGTATTCTGCAACTTTACTGAATTTGTTTATTCTAATGTTTTTTTTGATGGAGTCTTTAGGGTTTTTTATATATATATATGATTATGTCATCTGCAAACAGAGACAATTTCACTTCTTCCTTTCTTATTTGGATACCTTTTATTTCTTTTCCTTGCCTGATTGCTCTGGCCTGGACTTTCACTACTATGTTGGTTAGGAGTGGTGACAGTGAACTCTCTTACCTTGTTTTCCATTTTAATTATTTTAAGTGTACAATTCAGTGACATTAACTACAATCACCATATTGTGCAGCCATCACCATTATTTATTTCCAGAAGATTTTCGTCATTCCAAACGGAAACTGTGTATCCATTAAACAATAATTTCCCATTCTTCACCCGCACTGCCCCAGCCTATGATAATTTCTGTTTTACTTTCCTTTTGGGATTGTTCATTGCTGGTGTGCAGAAATGCAGCAAACTTTTGCATGTTGATTTTGTACCCTACAACTCTGCTGACTTAGTTTATTAGCACTTATACTTTTTCTGTGTAATCTAGAGTTTTCTACATATAAGATCATGTCATCTGTGAACAAAGATAACTTTACGTCTTCCTTTGTATACCTTTTATTTTATTTTTCTTACCAAATTGCTCTGATTATAATTTCCAATACGATGTTGAATAGAAGTGGTGGAAGCAGGTATTTTTGTCTTTTTTCTGATCTTAGAGGAAAAGTTTTCAGTCTTTCATCAGTGAGTATGATGCTAGCTATGGGTTTTTCATACGTGGTATTTATTTTATTGAGGAAATTTTCTTCTATTCCTAGCTTGTTGGGTATTTTATTTTATTTATTGTTTTAGAATCCTCACCTGAGGATATTTTTTCCATTTGATTTTCAGTCAGAGTGGAAGAGAGGGGAGAGAGAGAGCAACATTGATGTGAGAGAGACACATTGATTGGTTGCCTCCTGCACATGCCCTGACCTGGCTGGAACCCACAACCAAGGTATATGCCCTTGATGGAGAATTGAATCCTCGACCCTTTGGTCTGTGGGCCAACGCTCTAACAACTGAGCCAAATTGGCCAGGGCTTATTGGGTGTTTTTATCATGAAAGCATGTTGAATTTTATCAAATTTTCTGCATCATTTGAGATGATCAAGTTTTGTCTCCCCCCCTTCATTCTATTAATCCAAATATAGTCATCCCTTGGTGTTGGAGGGAGATTGATTCCAGGCCATGCTCCCACCCCCTCCATCCCAGTGGATACTAAAATCTACGGATGCTCAAGTCCCTTATACTATGAAATAGCACAGAACAGTGCATACATTTTGGCCCTTGGCATTTATGGATTTCCAATTGCAGGTTGAAAATACTGTTTTCTATCTGCAATTGGTTGAATCTGAGGATGCGAAACTAGCAGACATGGAGGGTTGACTGTATACTCTCTACCTTTTTCTTTCCTCTTTTCCTCTGTTGGTAGTCTTATAAATGCCTAGCTTAGTCCGTGTTCTCAATCAAGTTAACTGAAACCAAGTGATGCCGGAGCGGTGGATTTGCTCTAGGACAGTGATGGCGAACCTTTGAGCTGTCAGCATTTTGAAAAACCCTAATTTAATTCTGGTGCCGTGTCACATATAGAAACTTTTTGATATTTGCAACCATAGCAAAACAAAGACTTATATTTTTGATATTTAGATTATATATTTAAATGCCATTTAACAAAGAAAAATCAACCAAAAAAATGAGTTCGCGTGTCACTTCTGACACGTGTGTCATAGGTTCGCCATCACTACTCTAGGAGCTCATGAGGAGCTAGATACATGTTATTCTTATTCACTACCTGGAAATTTCTGATCTGCAGCAATTAACTTATGTACTTTCCATATGAACCCTTGAGCTTTTTGTATATAAATTGGACACCTAGAATATGTTTATGAAATGAAGAAAAAGTTAACTATAAAATGTCTTTGTACTTAAGTTGCTTCTTTCAAATTAAACCATGTTACAGGGTTTCTATACTCAAAAGAAGTTGCTTTATAATCCAACAGTAGAAATTTTCCTTGGTAAAAATTGTGTTCCACATTAATACAGGATTCCAATACAGTGGAGTATAAATGAAATTTTTATAGTCTTACTTGGAGAAGCACCAGCTTGCACAGTCTAAGTTACCAGTGGTGGTGATGGTAGCGGAGGTCAACATTTGGAACTAATGAAGGCATAACTGGAGTTCACTGTTTTTAGCCAGATATTTCTGTTGCATGAAATTTAAAGGGAAGAAAGTAAGGCAACTTATTAAGTGGGGAAAGAAGTAGAAAAATATTAAGTATTTGAGGGTAACAAAGGAAGCATTATCTTTTTTCTTTTTTAATCCTTATCTGAGGATATGTTTATTGATTTTAGAGAGAGAGAGGGAGAGGAAGAGGCAGAAAGAGAAGCATCGATGTGAGAGAGACACATTGATTGGTTGCTTCACGCACTTGTCCTGACCAGGGTCGGGATGGAACCTGCAACCCAAGTACATGCTGTTGGTGGTGTGCAGAATTGAACCCATGACCCTTTAGTGTGGAGGCCGTCTCTCTAACCATGTAGCAACATGAGCCAGGGTTCTTTAAGCTTTTAAAACTAGCTTTAACTGAAATGGTGACCAGAACGGCACCACTTGTAATGAGAGGAGGGCAGAGTCTCAGGTCACAATAGAAACAGCCAAAGATAATTTAAATATTACCTCTCAAGTTTCCTACAACTTATCTTTTTAAGTTTGAAGAGCAAATCAATTTTTTTTTCTGAGGTAAAGTTACTTATGCACCATTATCTATTAACAAGTTACTTCCTATTCTTAAAAAAGCTCTTAACATTTCTGTAAGTTTCCCATTTTGTTCTTATATCTTTACTTTGGTTGGTATTTCAGTAATTTTTGGTGTCATATTTTATCTAAATGGATAACTATTAAAATAAAACATAAATATACATTCTCCATTTTATTTCCCTCTTAGGCATGAATCATACAAAACTCAGTATAGAGCAATGTTTGTGATGAATTGTTCTGTCAACAAAGAGGAGGTTCTAAGATATAAAACCCCAGAGAACAGGAAGAAAAAGCGAGGCCATAAGAAGATGCGGGCTAACCATGAAGATGCTGCAGAGCAGACAGATACAGAAGTGGAAGAAATCTATCACCCAGTTATGTGCACCGAATGTTCCACTGAAGTGGCAGTCTATGACAAGGATGAAGTCTTTCACTTTTTCAATGTTTTGGCAAGCCATTCCTAATAGCTAAGTTTGCATTTAATTGCCCAATACTGTATATAAGGCAAATATGACAGTTACTTTCCTCCTGCCTATTAAGTGACATTCTGAGTGGTTATTTGAGGAAGCAGTGTTTTATTTTTGAAAGAGAATGGTTACCAAACTTCACCTTTCCCCCTTCTTTAAAAAAATTTCCCCTAGCTCTGTTGAGACTGATTATTCAATCCCTTTTTGATGGACTTTGGAAACTTGGGGCTTTTTATTTATTAAAGTTCTTTAGAACTAAAGTGTTCTGGAGTTGTAAGTAATCTGTTTTAGAGTGTTATTTTTTATTTTAGACATACCCTTGGTGTGATTAAACTGGAAACTATTTACTGACTTCTGTATGTATTGGTTTTGCTAAGAAGTATCTTTATTTTCCTTCTACTGCATAGGGTGGAGTGAATGTTTAGCAACTGTTACAATGACATGGAGTTAGTATTGCTGGCTGCTTTGAGTAATTAATGTAGGCTTCCTTAAAAGGATTGTACTTACTAGTATTTTAAACTTAATGAATTAACATAGTGAAATAGAAATTTGTGGTGAGGAAGAGCAGCCTCAGCCTCCAGCCATAGATTTAAAAATCCTCTTGCTGCCCCTTGTATCTGCTGTTTATTCCAGAATTTCTGTTGCTGGCAACCAAGTGTTTTTCTTGTTTTTGTTATTAAGTACATCAGTGATTTTCAACATTTTTCCCTCTCATGGCACACATAATCTAATTACTAAAATTCTGCTGCACACCAAAAAATATTTTTTGCTGATATGAAAAAAAAAGGTATACTTTTGATTCATTCACCCCAGGTGGCTATTGTTGTGTTGGCTGTTACAATGTTTTTATTTGACAGTCTAAGGGAAAAGAGGTCAGTGCACCTGACTAAATAGGTAGGTACTACACGTTTTAAAAATTCTTGCAGCATACTGGTTGAAAATCACTGAAGTACATAAAAATCATTAGTGGCAGCTGGGAGGAAATTACATTGTAGGCAACTGTACATTTTAGCTTTTAAAAAATTTTTAGAAGTGTCAGGCCCATGTGCCACCAGCGAGGGGCTGGGGCCTCTGGGGCCATGCGCACAAGCTGGGCAGGGGGCCGGCGGTGCGCACAGCGGAGCCGCCTTGGAGCCTGAGCCTGCCGGGCCGGGCCGGGCTGGGCCGGGGAGCGTGTGGGGTGGCAGGTCGGTTAAAAAAAAATAAATAAATTAAAATAAATAAATAAATTTAAAAAAAAATTAAATTTTTTATTGACTTCGGAGAGGAGGTGAGAGGGAGAGATAAAAACATCAATGAAGAGAGAGAATCATTGATCTGCTGCCTCCTGCACATGCCTGCTGGGGATTGAGCCTGCAACCCGAGCATGTGCCCTGGGCAGGAATAGAACCGTGACTCCTGATTCATAGGTCAGCACTCAACCACCGAACCACACCAGCTGGGCCATTTTAGCTTTTTAAGGCAGGGTTATGTGTCCGCGACGAGCAGAAACCGAAGTAACCGCTTGAGCTAAAGCTGACCCCATTTTAGCTTTTTAAAAGAGTGATATGATTGGACTGTTTCTAAAAACAACATTAGGAAGCTCAGGGTCCTCTTGTTAATCTAGTAGATATGTGATAGAGTGAAAAGAAGTCGGGAAATATGCTTTAATTTGGGCTCTACCATGGTAATCTTGGGAAAGTCTGTTACTTGGAGTCTAGTTTTCTCATCTATAAAATGAAAAAATTGGGTTAGGGCAGTGGTTCCCCACAGAGGTCAGGGTTCAGCAGAGCTTGAGGAGGATCTCTGCTTACTGCCTTAGAGAATGCTGTACTTCCAGAAGGAAAACAAGTCTCAATGCCTTGCCTTCTGCGCTTTCTAAAAGCTCCATGTTAGGAGAGCTGGAACCAGTGATGGTGAAGTATTCGCATGAATTGGGTGGAGGCAGAAAAATGATCAAGAAAAATATGCTAGTATTCGATTAGAAGCATTATATATACGTTATTTTTTATTTTTAAATTGATTTTAGAGAGGAAGAGAGAGAGAGAGAAACGTTGATTTGTTCCACTTATTGACTCATTTATTGGTTGATTCTTGTAGTTCCTTGACCAGGAATTGAACCCACAACCTTGGAGTATCAGGATCATGCTCTTACCAACTGAGCTATCCAGCCAGGCACATTATATATAGTTTTAAATGTTTCAACATATTGCCAGATGGTATATTACAGAATAGCACTACAGTCTGTTTATCTTAACCTTGTGTTTGCCATGGTGTAGCTTTGCAAGATTTTCTGTCATTGTAAATCTACTTTCTTCCCAGTTCTCACAACCACCCCTCCACCGTACTCTCATCTCCATTTCAGAGGGAGGTTCTCTGTGGTCTTGTACATAAAGATCATTTGGAACAGATATTAAAAAGGCACATTGTTGCCCTAGCCGGCTTGGCTTAGTGGATGGAGCATCGGCCTGTGGACTGAAGGGTCCTGGGTTCGATTCTGGCCAAGGGCACATGCCTGGTTGCAGGCTCGTTCCCCAGAAGGGGGTGTGCAGGAGGCAGCCAATCAATGATTCTCTCTTATCATTGATGTTTCTGTCCCTCTCTCCTTCTCCCTTCCTCTCTGAAATCAATAAAGAAATATTAAAAAAAAAAAAAAGGCACATTGTTGAGGCCCTACTCAAGGTGATTCAATAATAAAAATGAGGTAGGAAATTACAATGTATAAAGATGTAATTAATGACAATAACATAATGGGGAGGAACAGAACTGTATAGAAGCAGTCTTTTGTGTTATATTGAAGCTAAGTTCAAGCTAGTTTGTTAGAAATTGAAGATGACAATTGTAAACCGCAGGTTAACTATAAAGATGTTACAATAAGAAGAAAATTTAAAGTGACCCAAGAATATACTATATTTAAGTATCTACACTAATAAAAGAGAAACATGCAAAATGGTGTCACTCCGCTACACCCACCAGCCAATCAGAGCAACTATGCAAATTAACCCAACAAAGATGGCGGTTAATTTGCATATGCAGGCGCAGAGCGAAGACTGAAGGCTCCGGCCAGAGTGAAGACTGAAGACTGAAGAGGCTTGGCTTCTCTGCTGTGGCCAGACCAAAGGCCCGAGTCCCGGGTGCTGGAGGAAAACTGATGCCGGCAGCCAGGGAAGGAAGGCCTATTGCGCAAATCTTCGTGCAACGGGCTTCTAGTTATATAATACAAAGCTATGTATAATTATTCTGTATGTCCCTTTAACTTAAAAAAATGATTGAAATATCACTTAAGTAAATTGGTGCAGAACACTGTTTTGGCTTGAAGTAGAGAGGGCTCTGACAGTTTTCCACCCCAGTTTTAATGCCTCGCTTAGAATATATTTTCTGTTCTTTTATTTTCTTAAGATGCTACCTACAATGTGATTACATTCAGATTATTGAAAAATCATACTGCTTTTGTGAAAGAAAAACAGCAACATGGAGTTGATAGTCTCAAGAGAGAGAGCTATCTAAAATGGAGCAGGGTCCTAACCGGTTTGGATCAGTGGATAGAGCGTCGGCCTGCAGACTGAGGGTCCCAGGTTCGATTCCTGTCAGGGGCATGTACCTTGGTTGTGGGCACATCCCCAAGTAGGAGGTGTAGGCAGCTGATCGATGTTTCTCTCTCATCGATGTTTCTAACTCTCTATCCCTCTCCCTTCCTCTCTGTAAAATAATCAATAAAATATATTTAAAAAAATAAAATAAAATGGAGCAGGGCCCAGCTGGTGTGGCTCAGCAGGAACCAAGAGGTCGCCCGTTCCATTCTCGGTCAGGACACATGCCCGGGTTGCCGCTCGATCCCCATTAGGGGTGCATGCAGGAGGCAGCCGATCGATGATGCTTCTCTCTCATTGATGTTACTGTCTCTCTATCCATCTCCTTTCCTCTCTCTCAAAATCAATAAAAACATTAAAAAAAAATAAAATGGAGCAGGGAGGCATCTGGGAAGCTGGATAACTCACCTCTTCCATGTGAAACTGAACTTTTTAACTGGCCTTAAACCAAATGGCTACACCCTGATACAGGTCCTGGAATTAGACTTGCATCATTGAACTCTTTTTTTAAAAAAATATACATTTTTATTGATTTCAGAGAGGAATGGAGAGGGAGAAAGAAACATCAATGAGAGAGAGAATCATTGATTGCTTTCTGCCTCCTCCATTCTGGGGATTGAGCCTGCAACCTGGGCATATGCCTTGACCAGGAATCCAACCACAATTCATAGGTTGATGTTCAACCACTGAGCCACACCAGCCAGGCTATTCATATCAATATTTAGAGATGGGGGGGGGGTGGAAGAGAGAGAGAGAGAGAGAGAGAGAGAGAGAGAAACATCGATCAACTGCCTCCCGTACATACCCCGACTGACCGGGTATCCAACCCTCAATCTGGTCACGAATGGGACCCGCAACCTGGCTATATGCCCTGACCAGAATTGAACTGCAACCTTTTAGTGCATGGGATGATGCTCAACGAACTGAGCCACAAAAGCCAGGGCTCTATTCATATTTAATTCTTTAATCCACCACTGATTTATTTTTTTTCACATGGATAGTTAGCAGTGTTTATTGAAAAGTCCCTTCTTTCCCCAGTGATCTATAATGCTATCTCTGTCTTATCAAATATGCACGGATTTATTTCTGGGCTCTCCACTCTGGTTTTTTTTAAAATTTAATATATATTTTATTGATTTTTTTACAGAGAAGAAGGGAGAGGGATAGAGAGTTAGAAACATCGATGAGAGAGAGAAACATTGATCAGCTGCTTCCTGCACACCGACTGGGGATGTGCCCACAACCAAGGTGCATGCCCTTGACCAGAATCGAACTTGGGACCTTTCCGTCCGCAGGCCGACGCTCCATCCGCTGAGCCAAACCGGTCAGGGCTCCACTCTGTTTTATAGGTTTACGTCTTTGTTTTTGTACCAATACCATATCATGCTAATTACTTTAATGTTATGGTAAGTCATTCTATTACATTTTTTAAAATATATTTTATTGATTTTTTACAGAGAGGAAGGGAGAGAGATAGAGAGTTAGAAACATCGGTGGGAGAGAAACATCGATCAGCCGCCTCCTGCACATCTCCCACTGGGGATGTGCCCGCAACCCAGGTACATGCCCTTGACCGGAATTGAACCTGGGACCTCTCAGTCCGCAGGCCGACGCTCTATCCACTGAGCCAAACCGGTTTCGGCGGCTCTATTACATTTTAGATTCAACTTAAGTTTTGTAAAACTGGTGAGATTGTTTTTGTTGTTAATTCTCACCCAAGGATATTTTCCTATTGATTTTTTAAAGAGAGTGCAAGGGAGGGGGAAATACAGGGAGAAACAT